TAATAATAATAATAATAATAATAATAATAATAATAATAATAATAATAATAATAATAATAATAATAATAATAATAATCAGAGTAGAATTATTGCCACAGCCACAGACACTAATTCTTCTTCGACGGCTGATAATAATAATAATTTTACGTGTAGACTACTCGGAAATTTAGGATTAAGCTCTTGTCCAGGGAAAAAAGTTCGACTAAATGGTCCTGTTCGAGGAAGGGCGACAATTAATCGTGACTTAGATTTAGATTTTCAACGATTAAAGACACTTGGGATCTCTATGATTGTTTGGTAGCTACCCATTCAATAATTATTATTTAATATTTTGACGCGATTTCACCGATATAATTTTTAATCCCTCTTGAATTATTATTTAATTTAGTTGTTTGGATGATGAGGAATTGAAGTTTTTAGGGGCCCCATGGGCGCAATACAAGGAATTAGCTCAGCAGCATAACTTGGAAATAATAAGGTTTGTCGTCTCCTCGTCATTTTTTATTCTGCACTTTTTTTCGCGCACTCTTTGATTCAATTCATAATATTTTTGTTGAATTTCAGATTACCAATGGTCGAAGGCGGGTGTCCAGATTCTTTGGAACAACTAGAAGACATTATTACGAAATTGGATAATCATATAGAGAGTGGGCGACGAGTACTTGCTCATTGTCGGGGTGGTGAGTTTATGTTTATTAATTTACTTTATTAGTGTCAATATCATGGTATCGTTCTTGTTTTTATTAGATATCAACATTCATTACTTTAAATAGAACACGCATATAGATATACACGTACAAGCCTACACGCATTCACATTCACATTCACATACACATACACATACACATACACGTACACGTTAATTTTTATATTAATCTCGTGATTCATAAATATTAGGTGTTGGACGTGCCGGATTGATTGCGTGCTGTTGGCTACTTAAACGACAGTATTGTTATAGTGCTGACAGGTCAATACAGTTGGTGCGGATGCGACGAAGTCCGAAAGCTATTGAAACAATGCAGTAAGTATATTTAGGAAATAATGATGATGTTATTTTTTGAAAAATGAATTTTGTTGATATTAATTCTAATTTTTTTAATAATAATAATTTAGACAAGTTGATTTTATTATGCAATATGCAAATTTTATTGATTGGAGGAAGCAGCAACAACAACAGCAGCAGCCACAATATCAGCAGCAAGAATTGTCATGACAGTAATGTTATAAATTTTCAAAAATCAGATTTCAAGTTATCATCATAATAATATAAAAATGTCTCGTGTTAAAATATTTATTGTTTTATAGAACTTCGTTATTTTTTATTGATTCATAATTTGTTTCGCAACAATTATCATAACTACATTTTCATTATCAATTTTGTATATTTATTTATTTGTGTATAATATCTATTTTTGCAAAAACTGATCTTAATTTAAATTAAATTGTAAAACTTTATTTCTGTTTTTTACCCCTCTCCCACCTTCCCCCTCCCATCTGCGATCTGATGATCTTGGTCTAAATCACTTGATATGTAAAGTCAAAGTTATCATCATATATTCGAATAGTTTCACAAACGATAAATAAATTTATCATGTACAAAGTATACAATGTTGTGTTTGATTTCTTTAGTAACATGAAACAATAGTTGTATAGTAAAAACATAATTATCAAAAGCAGACAATTTGGGATAATCACCAATAATATTGAAACTGATAACGATAACGATTGATGCAAAACTAGTTTACCCAATCAATATAATCTCAAACAAATTGATTATTGCTGTTTGATAACGATTTGATTGAAATGGATAGATGTTATTGTTATTTTTCAATATTGATATTAAGTATTGATACTTTTGCTGTCATTTAGGTGTTCTGTTTATAAAATTCAATCAGTAATAATCTGTTTCTTTTGTACAAAATGCTTTCTATTGTTCTTTTTGTTTAATATTATTCAAGTTCGCTAAAACTTACCGATACTAATTCTTATTAGAATTAAAATTATATTTTATAATTGCAATTCTATTATATGTAGGCGGCTGTTATTTATACCCCAAATTTGTTATTCGTATCCCAATTGCAAATAAAATATAAAGTTTACATGTCATCTTTTCATGTAATTTGCATAAGCTTACTTTGCCACATTTCGGGCTTTATCGTTATTTTTAACCATGTGCATGTGACATCAGAAAAAATTGTAGACAGCATGGAATCGAGACATTGGCAAAAATCATATTTAGTTTGCAATAAAGAACATCAAGTATCCATGTAATAAAACGGGAAGTCTACGTGTTGAATCACGAGGTCTTTGATACAAAAAATAAAAAATGTGAAAAACAAATGTCAAAATCTAGCTTGAAATACTAATAAAAAATGTTGGAAAAGCAATTTACATATAAGCTTGTTCTCAGCTCTAATCCTAATCCAAACGATAAAATAATCTTTAACATCAATTTTCTATGATCATTCAAGATGGAGGAATGGACAAACTGGATTATATTGTATTTGATCCTGCTTTTATCTGGAAATCTGGATAATAAGTAAGTAAAACATTATTAACTATTTTTCTAGAATAAGTGATTCTTATTTTTTTCAGATATTTAAAAAGGTGAACAAAGTTTGTTAATGTATGCAAACTTTGTTTAAAAGATGATGACTTTAAACAAATTAAAGAAAATTGAAAAATTCTGAATTTGTAGTGCTTTATAAAAAAGAATATTATCAAAGAAAATTTGTTTTATTACCAGTAGCTTTGATTTCCTTTCATTATCTTCTTTATATTATAATCTGGCAATATGAAAAGATTCTGTGAAATGTTACTGTTATTAGTCTGATCAAGATAGAATTCATATATGAATTTAACAAATCAAATTATTATTTGGAATATCTTCAATATTTTTCAGATATTAATAAATGAGTGTTTGGTAGTTTAACAAATACTAAATGATCTAAAAAGATCAGTACTTTAAACTTGAAGATGAAAATAAAATGCTAATATTACCAATATAAAAACATATAATTGATCAAAGAAAAAAATACTTACTTAGAAATTATTACATTATAATACAAGAAACAAATTTTGCTAATTTTGTATTTGTTTATTCATTATCTGTTCATTCTCAGTTATTCTAATTTTTAATAAATAGAAATTTTTCTCTAAAATTTGAATTTACAAAAACTTAAAACTATGAATGGAATTATAATTAATTTGCAATTTAATAGCAGGAAAGAGAACATATTACAAACTAATTATCGAATAATAATATATATTTTGTTTTTTTTCAAGCAAATAATAAATTATTCTATTTTTTCAGGTAATATTACTAGTTGATAAAAAAAATATATATTTGTAGAACTAGAAAAACAAGAATTTTTAAAATGATAAAATATTATTTTGTATAAAAGATAAAAATAAATAATAATTATTAATTATTACAATCAAATCTCTTTATAGTTACCACTTTTGGGAAAGTAAAATTTGGTGACTATAGAGAGAATATGACTATAGAGAGATTTTTTTTACTATGTTTATATATAAATAGAAAAGCAAAATAGGATGACTATAGAGGGGTGTGACTATAAATGGGTATGATTATAAAGGGGTTTGATTATATATAATGAACTACTAATTCAATAATTTTCAATTATAATCTATTCATATTTGAAAATTTTAGTTAAATCAAGCTAATATTATAAAAAGATCTATTAAATTTTTGTAATAACAAATAATTAAAAATATATATTAAATTAAGATAATTATATATTATAATTATATTTATTTATATTTTATTAAAAATAATTAAATATCAAATTTATATAAAAACTGATATAAATTCAGCAATAAATCATTTTTTTTGCTTAATTAAAATAGTTAAATATTGATTTATATGAAAACTGATATAAATTTAACAATAAATTATTTTTTACCTGATTAAAAATGATTAAATATTAAATTTACATGAAAATTGATATAAATTCAGCAATAAATCATTTTTTTGTATAAGTCATTTTTGTTTATATAAACAAAAAATAACTTAGATTAGATTACTATAATCTTAGATATAATATGTATTTTGCTTTTTATAATATACTTGAATAATATATCTTTGCTTTTTATAACACATATCTAAGATATTTATAGTCTACTCATCAGATGTCATATAAATTATATTTGTATCATCATTTGAGAACTGCTGAGACATGTGTCAGTATGATATATATTTTGTATTTTAGATCACAGTTTAAGTGATGTATATTTTGCTTTTTATGACATGCACCAAGCTGACATATTTTATATATCAGATTACATGTAATATATTGTTACCATTTTAATATGACTTTATTTTTTGTCACAAAAGTACACATGATAAAGTCAAGTAAGAAAATTAACATATTAAATAACTTTAAGTTAGAAGAGTTTACTAAGTTATCTAAAGATAAATAATGTATATTCATTTTGTTGATCAGCTAGAATGAGACCAGAAAGATTCAAGATAATCGTGTCTTTTATAATTTAATCTATAATAAATCAAGTATTTTTTTAAAATTAATTTATAAACAAGTAAGATGTAATTTTCTTTTATTAATTCAATACTATTATTAACTTCGCAATATAGATGAGAGATCAAATACAAGAATATATAAGATAATATAACTTTGTAATAATGATGAGAGATTATAAAACAAATAAAAGAATAACTTCACAATTAAAATGAGAGATTATGAAAATATTATTTAAAGAATTATTAAAAGAATATAAAACTTAATTGATTGATTATTAATTTATTTTATTAATTTTTAAACTAAGATACAAGCTATATTTATAAGTATTTGATAATTATAAAATAATCATTTGAAATGATTATTTAAAGTATTTAAAATAATCATTTAGAGCACTTGAAATAATCAGTTGGAATGATCATTTGGAATGATCATTCAGAGTGATCATTTAAAGTGATTATATGAAGTGATCATATAAAATAATCATTTGTGATTATGAAAAATATCTAATCACAACAGAACTCTCATTGTTAAATATTTTACTTCATAAAATAAAAATAAAACAAAAAAAATAAAAATAAAAATAAAATAATAAGTAAAAGTAAAAATAATTAAATTAAATTGTTATCTAAATCTATTTATTGCCATTTGTTTAAATATTTTAACAATTTGTTCTTTGAGTTCATCACTATTTCATTTATTTAATCTTTCAATTGAACTCAATTTGAAATATTTATCAATCTTTTTATAATTTAATGCTTCAGAGAAATTTTTGAAGTAGTCGTAAATTCTTAGAGCAACTAATACTTTTGCAGTAGTGTTATATGAAGAAATATTCTTTTTAAATAAGCATTTGACTTTAGTCATTATTTGTGTAGTAATTAATTTAATTGTTTGATTATTAAGAATTCGTTCAATTTCAAAGTTCCTGTAAAAAAATTTTCAAACATATTAGATAAAAATCTAATTTTTGTATCGATTTATTTTTTATTCAGAATAATTTTCAGATAAAAAACAAATCAATACAAAAAATTCAGTTTTACTTTAGCAAAAATTCATTTTTATTATCAGAGTAAAAATAGTTTTTAAAAGATCTAACATACTTCTATTTTTTTTATTAAATAAAAAACAGATCTATACAAAAAATTCAGTTTTACTTTAGCAAAAATCTGTTTTTATTGCCAGAGTAAAAACAGTTTTTAAAAGATCCAACATACTGTTGTATAATGACTTTTCGTCATAATATTTTATTGGATTATATATATCTCATATCTTATTGGATAAAGATCAAATCATGTGAAGTGAGTAAACAAGCGAATGAATGAATAACTAAATGAATGAGCAAATGAATGAGCAAATGAATATTGAACCAATAGAATTTAAGTGATATAGCAAACATGAATTCGTATAGCCTAGAAATTATATTTTGAATTTGTATAAAAGCAATATATATCATAGTTGTTAGAATTAGATATGAACAAGTTCTTTTAGATAATAATTCCCAATTATCACATCTAATTAGTTATCACGTAGTT